TTAGGATGATGGTTTCAGGGATGGAGGAGGAGGAGAATGAATCAGGCTGAAAAATACTGAAGTTTGTCAAAGTCAAGCATTCGGTGTGGAGGACATTTTAGTGCCCAGCATTTTGAATTAATTTAGAGTCTAAAATCAGAAGACCATTTTCCAAAAATAAAAATAAAAAAGAAAAGAAAAGTGACATTTTTACTTTGTTGATTTTTGCATAAAGGAATGTGGAAGAAAGAATTTATACCTAAACTACTTTGGCCTTAAGGTTTAATTCCTTTTAAAATGTTAGTTTTTTACATTCATTTATTTATTTATTTTTTCTGTGTGTGTGTGTATGCATGCCACACCACACATGAGGAGGTCAGAGGACAACTTTGTGGGAATCAGTTCTCTCATTCTACCATGTGGGTCCCTGAAATTGAAATCAGGTTGTCAGGCTTGATGGCAAGTTCCTCTAGCACTGAACCAGCTCACGAGCTCTAAAAATGTTTTAAAAAATTTGGTGGAGGGGTATGGAGTCCATTACAACTGATTTAGCAGGTGGTTTCTTCTGAGCCTCATGGTGTTCTGCACCGGGGAGCACATTGTCCTGCACTGGGCATCTGGACCCAGTCTCCAGTTTTTCTGGAAACCCCAAGAAGGTGATTAGAGCTATTATATGGTAGAAGGTAAAGAGTGAGGCTATCAAAAGAAAAAATCAGAGTGGATGATTGATGAGCTGGAAACTTCTCTTTGAGGATGACCGCCCTGCCGTGTCTCTATGACCCTTGTTGGGGCTTCTGCCATCGAGTGTGTGGGGACAGAACCCTTAGGACCAGAAGGTAGCTACAGCTGTGGGGAGAGGCTCCAGCAGCAGACAGTAGAGACAGTGAATGTTTCTTCAGTGGCGACATCCATAGCCACAGCCATGACGACCACTGAGGCTGCTGATGCCCACTCAGCACCACTAGGTTGGTCTCCAAAGTAGCCCGGGAGCGGGTACCAAGGTGAAACTTCCTGTGCACATGCCAACTCTTTGAGACTAGATGGTTCCTGTGATGTCTGGTAGAAGAGATGTTGGATCCAGTGTGGATTGTTGAAAGGAATGAGAGGGAGGAGCTCCAGGGAGTGGGTCCGAGGGTGACAGTCCTTTGCTGCATGATGGAAAAGGCTCCCTTCAGGTGCAAAAGAGAAAAATCAAAACAAGAAAGATGTTTCCTGAGAAGGGGGCAAGGGAAAGCGCTGTGTTCTGAGAACCAGGGCCAGAGTGCTGGGGGTGGTGTGGGGGGTGAGGGAGAAACACAGAGGGAGCACACTGCACCTAGTCCCAAAGACACGAAGGAAGGGCAGGATGTCAGAAAGGGCCATTGTGAGCAGAGACAGACACCAGAGCAGAATGTAGAAATCCAGAAAGGTGGGTGGGAAGGGATGTGGACTAGCCTGGGCTGGCTGTACGAGGAGGAGCCGGGAGAATCTGTAATGTAACAGCCCAGCTGGGCGAGCCCTGCTCTTGATCCCCATTGACCTTCAGCACTAGACAGGTAGCTCCACACACTTGTCCTGGGCACTCTGGTGGCTGGGAACTTGTCTGGCTTCTGTTCCTGTCTCTCTGCTCATAGCAGCTGAGTTCTGCTGGCCAGGCAGGTGGCTGGCTGAGGTGCTCAGGAGCTGGATGGAGATTCTGCACAGGTGTGACATGGGACTGGAGACGTCCTTCTAGTCAGTCGGTCCTTTCCTCTGGCAGCACGGGCTTTTCCCGCCTACTTGACAAAGGCTTTGTGATCCCATCCAGCCCTGCTTTCCTCCTCCCTCTAGCGATCCTTCCTTGCTTAAGTGAGATGCTGCTGGTTTCCTTCAGCCAAAGGACACTTACTAACCCACATGGGTCCGTAGCTCATTCTTTGCCTCTCAGGGACATTGAATTCTCCGAGATGGATTGTGGATCCATCTCTAGCTACTTCTAAATGGCATGGACAATGGGAAAAACTTTCAAACCAAACAAGATCTGAAGAAAGTGCCTTCGAAGGAAAAAAATCCCCAGTTGTTAATGTGCTGGGTTCATGGTCGATTCTATCTATGCGTTGGCACGGCACACATGTTTATTTGAGATCCCACCGAAAGCCCCACCCAGTGATGCTGTGGATGGTGGGAGGGAATTTTTTTGGTTTCTGCTGTGACACTCTTGTAAGTGTGCACAAGAGAGGTTGTTAGTCTAGTTGGGCAAGCTCCCATGAGTGCATGATGGTCTGGACCCCCTGAGAGAGCAGGCATGGAGCTTCAAGTCTGTACGAAATATGCACCCAGTAAACACCCCATTTATGGGTGCTTTTAGTTCTCACATGTCTTAACAAGAGGCTGTATCAATAGGGGAACAACTTTGATGAATACGTAATGTTGTTCAGGTAGTTCTTTTTTAAATTAAAATATTTGTATACATATAAAGCGTTTTCTTTTTGTTTTCCTAGAAGAAATTCTTTGGATAGCAATTACTGTAACTGTAATGAGCTATCTGTCCATATGGATGTCTACCTGTGCACCTGTCTGTCTGACTAAATGGCAGAAGTGGAAGTTACTTAGCTGGGGGAAGTAATGGAATTCTCCTTTAGCTCTGTGTTCTGCCAAAACACAGTGGCTGGGATGGCTTGATGTGGAAGGTTAGGGCCAGAGTCTTTTCTCTGTCTGGGTCTTTAATGCTGTGGTTCCTTGGCGTCAGAAATCAAATTGGCAGAGTTGAGATGAGCAGAAGCTATAGCCAATGGCTACCTCAGTGCCAGACCCAGAGGGGGGAATCTCTCAGCACAGGTGGAGGATACTGATAATGTCTGAGGCCAGTGACCAGTGCAAGGACCCAGCAGCAGGTGGGAGCAGTGGGGAAGCCACATCAGCTTAGGGTACCATGAGCTCAAGTTATGAGTGGCAGACTCTGAGTGGAAGGCTACAGGATGCCCCTGATCCCAGGAGCCCCAGTGAGTCAGTGAGCTTGATCCTCAGACCTTGCCTCAGTACTGAACAGAGCCTATGGTGGCTATAAGGGAACACCGGGTCTGAGAGCCCCGGATCACAACTTAGAGAAGGTGTCCCTTGTCCTGAAGCCAGAGTTGGGGGGACCCCATGCTGAAACTTGTGGCCCTCTTGAACCAGGAAGTGTATGAACTCAGGGGCCATGCTTCTTGGCTGCTGGACCTTGAGAGGGCAGGGTGGGCTATTGCTGTGATGGATTAAGAAGGTTCACAGTGAAGCCCAGCTTTGAATACAGACAGCATGAATTTCATAGGTGGTTGTGGGATAACCTTGCTCAGTTATCAGACAGAGTCATCAATTTCTGGTAGGCAGGACAGAGAAGTACTCAGCTGACACTTGGTATCAAGGATGTACCACCCAGGTGGGTCAGATCCATGTGTCCTCAAGACCTGGAAGATGGAAGGGCAAACCTTTGTGAGGAAGGGGATTGATGGTAACTTTTCACCCCGAGAGGTCTTGGGAAGTTAGGGGCACTGCCTACACAGATCCTTCTTCCTGTATAGCCTCTCTCCCATTCACTGTGAGAGCCTCTGCTCCCTGCCTGGACCCACTCATGTACCCTCCCACCACCTTCTTACATACCCCCCTGGGTTCATCGCACATCCTTCATTCCCTGTGTGTCCTCTGCTCATGTCTCCCCATTCTGAATGGCCTCTAGCTTACTCACTCTCCCTCTGGCTGCAGGATCCTCTCCAGAAGACACTGGAGCACCAACTGGTCGTTGAAAGTGGACCTGTCTTCCTGCATCATCCAGTGTAGGGGACAGCAGTACCTCCGCTTACCTGTTCACACTCCCCATGACAGAGCCCAGACAGATGGCTAATGTTAGTTCCCATTCAAGGAAGCTTTCTAGAGGGTGTCTGCAGTGTCCTTTGCTATCCTGATGCTGATATTTTAAAAGCTGGATCCAGTGCCAAGTTCTGCTGACAGCTGGCCCTTGGATGGCTCACCTCAGGTCTTAGAGTCTTGGCATTTCAGTTTTGAGAGTTCATGGGAAAGATTAGGTGGCATTTTGGGTCCTGGCAGGTTTGATCTCTCTACCAAGAGCACCTAAGTGAACCTCAACAAGGCACCCACAGAGTCTGTCATCTCATTAGGCTCCTCTGATCTGAGACCTTCAGGGCCTTTTCCCTGTAGAGGCTTGTCCTGGTTGTGCAGACATGACCCCTGGGGTGCCCTGGATCCCTGGGATATGTCCATATCCCAGTGACCCACACTATCATTTGTGTTTCCCTCTTATGTTTGAGATTATCTGATACTTCTGGTGGAAGTAGATTCTGTTTACTTTTACTTGGAAATTGTTTTCCTCTCTAGGTCAGATGGTAAAGAGGAGACTTCCCTTTGAGGCATGCCAGCCCAATGGCAGGTCAGTGGGTAAGAGAGAGCAGCATAGCCTAGGAGGCCTGGAGTCCAGGTCCACTGCCATCAATGCTGTCATGTGTAGGGTCCTGGCTGGACTTGGACAGTCAGCAAGGGTCTGCACAATGGCTGGTATTTTATCCCAGGGGCAAAAATGTGCTCAGTAGTTGTTCCCAAAGCTACCAGTTTTGCCAAGAATACAATACAATAGAGGTTTTCTATTTATATCGCCCTACTCATTAGCATGCATGACACAGAGGCTGGAGTCTCTGAAGCGAAAATCAACAAGTCCTGATTAATTTGCAGAGCTCAACCACAGGACTGTTGGGAAATCTCTATCCAGTGTCACTCTCTGACTGAGTCTCATGGAAGGGTCTGGAATTGGAAATGGCCTCAAACGATAGCCAGGACAGCAGCAGAGATGGTATCTCAACCCAAATACCCAGAGAGCAAAAGCTCCTGAGAAGGAACACTAGGGAGCCATTGATGGTTTCATCACCTGAATCTGTCTGAAACATAGGGTGGAGCTGGGGGCCATGCTGGTGGCTGGGAGTTCAGAGGAGAGAAAACGCATGGCCACCTTAGAAAGGCAGACACTCATTCTTCGTATGTCAGTCTTTGCTTCTAACAAGCCCTGTCCTTCCCAGGTTGCCCACCTCTTGGTCTGGAAACTTTAAAAATCACAGACTTCCAGCTGCACGCCTCCACAGCGAAGCGCTACGGCCTGGGAGCGCATCGGGGGAGACTCAACATCCAGGTACCAGGTCTTTGATGCATTCCTATCACACTGGTGATTGGTCTGGTCACAGACACCAGGAGGTCCCCCCTAAGCCTGAATTGAAGGATGTCGGCTAGTCCTTATGGTAAGGAGGCACTGCAAAGTCACCCTGTGTGCAGAAAGGATGGGGCTCAGAGACAGAAGTCAGGACAAGTGAGGAGGGGCTTCCCCTCACACACCCTCCATCTTGAAAGGGCAGGAGAAGATGAAGAGCATCCATGGGCGTGAAATGTCCATCACAGAAGAGGGAAGTGGCCTTCTGTTGCCCCCTGCTAGTTTCTTATTTCCACTCTGCCCCCCTTACCCCGCTGCTCTGTAGAACCCTCTATCCTGTTCCCCAGGTCAAATCCTCACTGGTTCCCAGGGCTGGGCACATCTCATGTAGTTCCTCTCTGAGGCTCCAGGATTTTTGTAACCTTGACCCTTGGTACTGTAGAGTCCCCCCTCACCCCCCACCCCGGATACTCTGCAGGTAACTTAGCCCCTGACTCCAGGTTTTTCCTCCAGTGGTTCCTTTGCCTGATTCCCTGATTCTTTTTTTGGAAGTACTCGAAGTAATAGTAATCCCACCAAGCCATGGGAGGTATTCTAACTCTGTCGTTACTTAGCTTTGGTGACAATGTACACCTGTCTGTTATGTTCTGGAAGACAGGTCACACTGGGCTCAATCCAGGTATGGGCAGATATGTCCTTGTGGGAGCTTGAGAGAAAGCCATGTTCCCTCTGGCATGTGGAGGCCACCCTGCCCCTGGCCTTTGGCAGGCTGGGTGCTTCTCGTGTGTGACCCTTGGCTTCTCTCTACTGATCCCCCACTTCTCTTTTGAGTGCCTTCTAGATTACCTCAGGCCCCCTGGTAACCCACGATCACCTCCCTTCCTCACAGAGCCTAATTCCACCTGCATCTCCAGTCCCCTTCACAGGCTCTAGGACTGTGCCATGCATGTCTTGGGAGTGGGCCTTACTCTGCCCAAGCATCTCTGATGCCTTTCCTCCTACCCCAGCTCCTGCTGGCCCAGTCCTTCTCAGGTTAGCACTGGATCTGTCCCGTCTGTGGTTCTCAGGTACAAATTTTAATCTGCTCTCCTCAGCTACTCTGTGATGTGTGTGGTTTCCAAACCTTCTCCACTCATTCTACCTAGAGAGAGTGGCCATCCTTCTATCCCAGAATGGGGGTGGGGGATGGGGTGGGGGATGTCTGGGATGTAGGAGGCTGTACTCGGGACTAGACAGCAGACCATTTAATCTCCAGTCAGTCACTGTAAACATGTCAAATGTAACTGCTATGCTGGGAACCAGATAGGAATGGCCAGCAAGGCCACCGCCCACTTAGCACATGGGCTCTAGGGTTTGAAGCCCATGCTCTGCTCCCTACCTGACCCCACTCAGACTTGGCTTCATCAGATAGACTGCCAAGCACCACAATTAGTTTGCAGGAAGTCAGAACATTGCCAGAAGCAACGTTAATGAACCCTAATGATTGCTTTATAACTACTCTTTAAAATGTAACAGCTATTGAGAAACATTTCGATGTGACAACAAGAAAGTGGCAAAAAAACAAGCAACCACACAAAACAAAACACACACACACACACACACACACACACACACACACACACACACACACACCTCTGCGTGAGGACCTGAGGTGGAATTCTCAGGACCTATATAAAAAGCTGAGTGTGGTGGCACATGCTTATAACCCCAACATTGTATGGGGAGGACAGGAGGATTGCTGGGGCTTGCTGGCCCAGTGTAGCTCAGGTTCAGTGAGAGACCTGGTCTCAAGGGAACAAGGCAGTGAGTGATAGAGCAGGACGCCTAACCTCCTTCTCTGGCCTCTGCACATGCAATGGGAGTGCATACACTGTGTGCTCATCTTTGTCTCTGAGACATTTGGAACAGTTATCTCATATTGCTGACCCTCAGTGGCCTCATCGGACAAAGGAGAGCCCTGAGCACTACAGGGTTCGTTGAGGGGCAGAATCCATTGGTTTATAATTTGAAAATGTTTATGGGATCATCTCCTCTACTGAATGCCTCTGGTAGGTTTCAGCTGCTCTGTGACAAAATCCCAGCTCTATCCCCGAATACCTCAGCCTCTATGGGTTCTCTGTGGGGTACAGTCCTCTCTGCACATTCTTTAACTGCTCTTCTTATTGTATTACTGTTCTTGTTGCTGTGATCAAATGCCTGACAAAAGCATGGGTTTATAGTTCAAGGGTAGAATCCGTCATGAAAAGGAAGTTATGTCAGCAAGAGTTTGAGGCAGCTGGTCACATTGTATCCATAGTTAGGGAGCAGAGAGAGATGCATTGTGGTGTTTAGCTTGCTTTCTCCTTTTTAAAAATTTATTATTTTTATTGTGAGTGAGTGTGTGTGTGTGTGTGTGTGTGTGTGTGTGTGTGTATTGCTTGCATGTAGATAGGTGCACCCATGTCCATAGAGGTCAAGAGTATGTCGGATCCCCTGGAACTGGAGTTACAGATGGTTGTTAGTGCCATGTGTGTTGGGAATTGAACCCAGGTCCTCTGCAAGATCAGTCAGTGCTCTTAACTGCTGAGCCATCTCTCCAGCCCACTCCTTTCTTTTTATTCAGTACAGAGCTGCAGTTCATGGAATTGTGCTGCCCACATTTAGGATAGATCTTCCCACATCAATTAACCCAGTCCTTTACAGACTAGCCCAGAGGTTGGTCTCCAAGGTGATTCTAGGTCATATCAAATTGACAATCAAATTAACATCACAGCTTGGTTTCCTATGAGTTCACTCTTTGAACATGAGCCTCCTGGTTTTCTGCTTGTGAACTCTGGGAACACAGAACAGCACCCACAACACATGGGGTACACAGAGGATATTGCTGGAGACTTGATGAAGTGGGGGTGGCATATGACCCTGTCCTGCTTCTCTGGGCCGGGCAGTGGATCCCTTAGAGGACAGATTGTTCAAACCTTATCGTCTGGTCTTTCTCCTCCTCTATCCTTCACCCATGGGAGGTGTAACCCAGGGAATAGCCAAGTTCCCTTCCATGAACTCCTGGGCAGAAGTCATTCTGCTTCCTGAAGTCAGGATGGAAATAGGAGGTTGTTGGATGTGTGTGGGAGTGTATATGTGTGTGAGGCCACATGGACACGGGGTGCGGAGTGTGCACGTGTGTGAGGCCAGGGATGAACACGGGGTGCGGAGTGTGCACGTGTGTGAGGCCACATGGACACGGGGTGCGGAGTGTGTATGTGTGTGAGGCCACATGGACACGGGGTGCGGAGTGTGCAGGTGTGTGAGGCCACATGGACACGGGGTGCGGAGTGTGCACGTGTGTGAGGCCACATGGACACGGGGTGCGGAGTGCACGTGTGTGAGGCCACATGGACACGGGGCCTTCCTTGGGCACTCTCCGTCTTCTTTCTGAGACAGGGTCTTTCACTGAACTTGGAGCTCACTGACTGACTAGACTGACCGGCCAGCAAGCCCCAAGGAGCCTTCTGTCTCCGTTTTCCCAGCACCCCCACCCCCATGACTGGGCTTTGATACACGACCTCCAAAGGCAAATTTGGACCAGATCGGGCTCCTCCTTGCAGTTTCTACCTTACAGAGCCAGCATCACAGGCATCGTGATTTGACAGCTCCAGGTGCACAATTAAAGTCAATGCTCAAAAAATATATCACCCCACACAGGACAATTAGAAACATAGTTTAAAAATAGCACATCTTGTCTCACATATGAGTATTTTGTAGGCGTGTCAAGCTAATGGATTTTAAGTGTGAGAACCACCAAAGAGTCAGAATTAGAAATATATTTTAATTCATCTGGTGCATGCAGGGTTTGTGCAGAGTTAGTCTACCCCTGTTCTGGCCCAGGACTCTGCAGGCACACAGTGGCCATCATCCAGGCCACAGCACTGGGGTTTAGAGACTGGGATGCTTGAACTAGCTGTGGGGCCCACGGTGAGGTGCCCATCTTCTCAGAGGCTTGATGTCCTGCTCTGCACTGTGACCAAAGAGGGAGAAGTAGTTCTTGGAGGCTTCATCCACACCCTCAGAACCCATGTGCTCATTTGTGGTGTGCGGTCTGCTCTGGCCTGATACAGAAAGGGCAGGATGAAAGCTCTTGTTCACTCTCAGCCTTTTTGACTCCCTAATCCCAGACAGAGGGAGAGCAGGCATTGCCTCCAAGAGCTGCTGGGACCTTGCTCAGTGCTTTCTGTGCATTGTTTCACCTAACCCCAAGAGACAAACAGCATTGTTGATAACCATCTTACACAAAACAGATGCACAAAGCCTGGAGGGATGCCGTCCAGATTTCCCCAGAGAGGTAGTTACAATTCTGAGCATTTGAAACCTCAAATGGTTGTTTCTAATGATGCCAGAAGCAAGGGGTGCTCTAGATGTGATACCTGCTAAATGAGTGGCCGAGTGTCTCTCTTCTGTCCCCTGCCATAGGCTGACCCTCTTGCACGCAGCCTATGTCCTGTTTTCCAGGGGCTTCCCTGAATACTTTTGCTCATACGTGACTGGCAGGTACAGGAATGACATCACCATGGTTCAGAAGTAGCATCGTTTCACGTTTGACTTTTGTTTGCGTCCTTGGCATCTGTGAGGGATTGTTTCAGGATCCTTAAGGATACCAAACTCCCGTTGTTCTTCATGTAAAATGGTGTCTTTTTTGCACGTAACCTCCCATATCTTCCTGGATATGTTAAACCCCCTCTAGATTACCTGTAGTTCTTGAGCAAATGTAAATTTCCATGAAGATGTGCTTCAGGAGTAACAACAGGCCTACACATGCTCAGCATACGTACAAATTAAGCTTTCAAATATCCTTGCCTCTATGGCTGTTGGGATCCTCAGATGGGGAACAGTGGGTATGAGGATTGACTGAGCATCAGTGGCTTGTAGGACCAGGTGGCAGCGCCTGATTGGAGTCACTACACAGAGGGATGAGGAGGTTGTCAGGGAGTATAGACTCTTGCTGCCTGGTCCTC